ACCTCCTCGGGCCAGTGCACCCACTTGCAATGTGGTTCATCTGCTGGCACTTGTAGCACCTAAGTGGGGCCATAACAAAAGGTCTCACTGGATATCTCAGGTAGTCTATGTTGACAGCTTCAGGGAGCTCCCTTCCCTCAAAGATCACCTTCACTGCAGATGACTCTGCACGTATACCCTGGCGATGGCTAGGGAGACGCACCATCTCTCTGATCTTCACGAAGCCTGCCCTGGCTGACTCCAGAAGTTCTGAGACCGAGACTGATGGGTGGATTGGCCCAATCACTCCACTTATGCAAGTGTCAGTACCAGGTTGAGAGCAGGCAACTTGCCATGTCCCTATTTTTGTGACTTTGAGAAGAGTGCCCAGATCCAAGTTAGAGACGGATGCAAACTCCACTGCCACCAAGTTCCTTCTTGGGTTTGTCCTCACTTCATATCTGGATACCTGCCATAGCCTCATAGGCTCCTGTCTCTTATACACATCTAAAGCTTTTGCCGGTGAAGGTGTGTTTTACAATCGGTCCATAAAGAAGTGTTGATCGGTTCAAAATGACATAAGAACAGGTTCTTTTGAATAACCTATGGATTGGCACCATGGGTGTATGTCATATGTGTCTGTGGGCTGTGAGGGGCGATAGAAATTCACTAGGGAGCCAAAGGGGGCGCCAGCATAGTGACAAACCAGAGATTTTTTAGCATCAGTTCATTTTTAATTTCCTCATTTACTCAAGATTTTAACCAATTTCTCAAGTATGATAATGCTGGCATCCATGATACTTTATTGGTCTACTTATAGGACTCAAAAATGAACTTGAGAGTTGAGACAGACTGACAGAGTCTAAAAATCTCTCTGCTTTGCCACTATGGGCGCCCCGCGCCAGCCTGAAAAGTTTGGGAACCACTGACATCACATAACTATAGTCATACAGTCTATAGTTCAAGTATAAGTAGCCTAGAGTGCCCTAGACCAGATCACCACTTCACCAGCACCAGCTAAGAGCCTAAGGGCACGATTGTATGTTTGTACAGCAATCCCTTGATTAGCACGGTTTTGATTAACGCGGAAACAATTTTTGCGACCTACCCTTAATCTACGCGGTGCCAGTTTTGATTAGCGCGACTTTTTTTTCACAACGCATCATTTTCCCGCCTCTAGCCAGAGGTGTTATTAAGCCCTGGTGTGACGAATTTTTCACACAGAAAATAAAAGCTTCTACCGAGAGTAATTACAGGTTTGGAGTCTAGCCGCAAGTGTGACGGTAGCGTCACATGTTGTGAACTCGTTCGAACGACGTTCGATGGAGTAGGCGCGTCGCTACTGCCAGTTTAACACAAAGACTGCGCGTGATCTGAAAAGTAATTCAGATTGTTTTTTCACTTTCGAAACATAATTCAGTGCGTCATAGTGGCAAAGCAGAGAGTTTTTTAGACTCTCCCTCAAGTTCATTTTTGAGTCCTATAAGTAGACCAGTAAAGTATCCTGGATACCAGCATTATCATACATAAGAAATTGGCTTGCATCTTGAGTAAATGAGAAAATTAAAAATGAACTGATTCTAAAAAAGCTCTGGTTTGCCACTATGCAGTGCATAAAGGGCTAGTTACTCGTTAGCCTTCAACTGGTCAAGATCGCTGCCATATCTACTGCTCACTTTTATCAAACTACATAATTTTCCTTTCCTTTGCTATTTTTGAGGATTCATTATAATTATTCCCATATATTCTTAAGTTTGATTAGCGCGGTTTTGCTTAACACGGTAAAACTCAGGGATTTATTAACCGCGTTAATCAAGGAATTGCTGTAAATAACTCCTAAGTAACTACCAACATTATCATACCTAGTAGCCTATTCCTATTATACACAAGAAATTGATTTAAATCTTGAGCAGATGTCTGCCAGATGAGGATAGGGCCGATAGGCCCTATCAAAAATGGACTGATTGTAAAAAATTTGTGGTTCAACACCATCATTGGCTATGGTTAGCATTGACAATTGGTCTTTATAAGTTAAAAACTTAAAACTGGCCCACCCAACAGTCAACGTATACTAGGCTAAATGGATTATAATTCAATGCTTTCCTAAAATAATATCAATGGAAATTCTAGCAATAACATTTGTATAGTAGATTCGTTAATCATTACCAGCATTCTGGACTGGATGAATGATGAATCTTCATTATTATTATATACTTAAGTCTTAACATAGCGTTAGTGTAGGTACTGTACATACCGTACCCGCGTACCGCAGACTTTGGTTTTAGTCCTAACTCGACTAAACAACCGTGGTTAAAGCCTGGATATGCGTGTGCCTATAAGGTGGCTTGCGATTCAACTACTATTAGTTTAGCTATAAAATGCACTGTAAACCCCGCACATGGTTACACGTGGCCGTTGCTTAGCTGAAAGCAAAAAGTGTTTCAACGGCCATATAACAAGACGAAATGAACCGGCCTGCAATCTTGTGTGATAACTAAACACCAGCCTAACATCAGTAACATGCCCTAAGGTTTGTTTGTTACATATAAACCCACTAACATTTGAACCGAAACTTAGCGGGAATATTGAGTTTGCTGCAATACTCGGAATTTTCATACTGATTGAGTAGATATGTTTTATTAAATTAAGTACAGCAATCAATTGAAATCAAATGAGTCAATTCAATTGAAAAGAGAATGATATTAAATTACGCAAATATACAATTGGATACGTAATATGTTCTTTGTGTTTCAGAGAGAACCCAGAAAAACTATATAAAGTCAGCAATTTCATTTATTACTATATCAATAGATTAATTGATGTAATTACTTTGAGTATTGTTTTGTCCTAAAAAAAACGTTTTGTTTTGTTCTAACCAAAAGGAACGCAGCAGTAAAAACACCAATTAGTTATTTTTGGAACCCGACTGACATTTTTTCTGCCATTATTCCAGTTATAATATATAATATAATATAATAATATATATATAATACAATATATAATAGCGGTTTCAGCGTTTATTAGGCCGTAGGCCTGTCGCCGATTCTTAACATCGCAGAACATCCACAGCTTGTTGCGAGTCTCGAACTCGCAACTCATTGCTACAATTCTGCTGTGCTTAACCGCCCGGCCTCCTCGCCGATTCTGACCAGAAACTGGCGCACAGAGCTGGGATCGAACCCGCGCCTCTCTGCGCCAATCTTGGTACTCTGAACTGTAACCACTGGGCCACCCTGCATCGTTACGGACGTAGAGTTACGAATGTATTGTGAAGGAAAAGCTCAATTTCAGCAAGTAATGTAGTGTTGCCGACCGTTTCTTTACACGCGCTTCTGAACGAAATAACAGCGTTAGTTAACAGCGCTCATGAAATATCATCCGAACTACAAACCAAATTCTTTAAAATTTAAATTCGAACTCCTGGGGGCAGTCCGCTTGTTTTCACTCACACGATTTCCCTTTTTATTTCATTGATTTTTTTACAACACTAAATCATTTTACAGGCCCGTCGCGAGTCTCAACTTGTGAATGAATTTAGAAGCGAAAAGATAATACGCTAAACTCAAGTGGATGGTTTCTAAGAGCTTGTATGCTTTGTTTTATCAAAACCATTTCTGTAACTTGGGAGACATTTTTGAAAACTACAAAAACAGAGAAAAAACAATTGGTATTTCTGAGGCCTAGCTCAGAAATAGTTACGTACTGTCCGTAATGGTAATAGAATAGAATGGAATAGAATAGAAGTGTTGGCATTGAAGAAATAGGCCCATGGCCTGTTGCCGATTTTTGAACTTTCCATAACCCAATCTTTCCATAACTGGCGATTGATTGAGATAGCTACTGGACTTATTGCCTGGTCCGTTATTTGCTGGGCATTTAAGACTGAACATATGCTCCTGCATAGCTTCGTCTAGTCTGTTCTTGAAGACGTTCATACTGGGAGCGTTAACGATGCTATCAGGGAGGCTGTTCCACATGTCGGTGTAATCATTCGAGTCTTTGGCAAGTAAAACCCCCACACAATATGAAGCGGTTATATGAGCAACAGCTAATGGAATATGGAGTAGGGTTTTGGTCGCAAGGTAAATTTTAATATTTTCTACAAACCTTAATTGAGAACTTGCTGCATAAAAGCTTGTAAGAGCGCTCTCAGAGGGCAGGATTATTCGCTGTATAATTAATAACCCCTCCTACAATAATTACAGTTTGAGCGAGTTGGTTGCACGTACACTAAAACTGCTGTTCCGTTGATGAAATAAATTTTACTTGATTTCCTTGTACCTTAAATATTGTCATTCCAAAGAATTATCTTCGAATTTTCTATCAGATTGTAACCGCATGACCTATAACCTTAACCCTACCTTACTAGAGTAATTCAGTATCAGTCTTCGTATCATAAATACAATTTATGTCTTAAAAAACTCGATTAAATGCAATCAGTTTTTAATTTTCTAGCGAAGGTACATGTCGAAATGTATTGTTCAGTGATGGGCTGCGAGGAGCGTGCTTGATAGCATCGCCTTCCAGGAAATGCCGAGACCACCCGCACACTGCAGCGACGTTTGGCCCTTACAGCCTGGGCTTAAAAATAAAATGTAAATGTTTTGAATTAATCTGAGTATATTTTTATTTCAAATTATTATACTGCCGTACATTATATCGTGCTGTTTTTCTCATTGATATAATTATCAGTATGTCCACAAGAAATAAAAATACAATTTCGTTTCGAAATATTATTCGGTCTCATATTATTTCGTGTAATTCTTCTTATTGCCATAATTATAATTTTTTTCAAAAACTGAAGAATTAGATCTACAGGCAGAGGTGGGTAGTAGCGACTAGCGCGCTACATGTAGCGGCCGCTACATTTTCAAATAGCTGATCCCTGTATAACTCGAAACTGTCGCGGCGTCCCATGGTAGGCTCGTGTGTGCGCGACGTCCTGCTATATAATCACCCTAAATTGGCGCCAAAGATTGTTCTTCTGAAGTCACGGCCACGAGCCCGGTCTGCAGTCTGCGGACGTTGCGACGGTCGCGGCCGTGAGGCTGGCGGTTTCGCCGTTTTCGAACTTTGGCTGTCGTGAGAAACCTAGACTCACCGAGGCCGCTACGATTCCTGTGAGCACGTCAAAAATAAGCAAGGGAAGGCCACGACTTCGACCTATTAATGTACGGTCAACATCAACGCTCTGGCTGCGGCTCAGCCGTGAAACGTCGCGAGATGTCCAACGATTAAAACGCCGGCAATCATGAAGATTCGAGTAGTGATCACTGCGCAAGAATTATATCATCGGCACAATCATCAGCCGCAGTGCGACAGCGAGCTTGGAGTAATATCATCAACTATGAAGACGAACGCCACTATTCATATAAGTATCGTCGTTACAAGAAACCTAGGGCCAGACTGACCGTGAGATAGCTATATCAGCGAGACACGACGGTTATGAAGAACAGCGACCACGGTGACGCGCGGCTACAGCTACTGTACGGCCACTTGTAAATTGTAATGCGGCTGCAAACCGCGCGTGAGGTACGGTCGTTGCGGGAGTCGTATCATTCTACGGAAGAGTTCAACGGTTCAACGTTTTCTGGTAATTGTAGAATATTTTAGTGATGTTAACTGATAGGTTCTCAATTTTGATGGTGTTCGGACTTGCTTTTTCATGTACTACAGATTTTTGTCAACGTAGGATGTGAATTTGAATTTGCCAATTTAATATTTAAGTGAAGTACCAGTGTTTCATTACAACCCTCTCTCTGTACGATTTTTTTTGCCGTAACCTATTCATACGAAGACTTACGTACATGCCTAAAATAAGCCATTTTGGCAACCAACCAACCAACAGACGACAAATAATTAAAATCTGGAAACAACGTAACGAAAACCGAAAGAGAAATAACTTTGATCGTGCAACGTTAAGAAAAATACTAGGTATACATATCCTTGAATAATTTTTTTTCTAATCATGTATTTCAGATTGGCTGGATACCGAAGTTGAAATCAGCACACTGACTTAGGTGATAAAAAGTACAGTCATATTTTTCTATATAAAATAATTTCAAAGTAACATTATTATGCACAATGATATTATGTATATAATAATATCATGTACCAAAATTATGTATTATAATATATCATTTTTTCAGGAGAGAAGCGACTTAGGTGTTACGACGAGCGGACGGCTAAAAAGTCATATAATATAAATTATGATATTTATATCGTATAAATATTATTAGACGTTATTTATCGTACGTTCGGGACAGTGCAGCTACGTTCTCTGCCTTCCTCAAGGAAAAGTTTCATTATATGAACATTCTTGAACAGTAACTCTAGGATCATCGAAACAGCTTTGTCGTTTCTTGTAATAGAACAATCGAAGAATTATGCATCTATTCCAGGCATTGTACTGCATTTGTGGAAGAAATACGTGCTTAGTGTAATGGGCTGCATAGTGGCGAATATATATAATATTCCATAGGCCTAAAGATATGATGTGCAGGGCGTAGCTAATGTTAAAATTTTACAAAAACATTGAAAAAATCAGTATCATTTTGAAAATTAAAAAACTTAACAATGTTCGTCAAGTTATCAGCAAAGCGATATAAATGTATACGCTAATTCCCGGAATTAAAATACACTCATAGCTGTTGTTTCATTCCTGACAGTCTAGAAAAAAATCCCTGGGACAGGCGAAAAATCTCCCTAGCAATGCAGACATTGCATTCTTCATCCATTTCCAGGTGCATTATTAAACTGGATTCGAGTGACTGTCTTCTCGTTGTTTCCTCAGGAGATAAAATGGAAGCGAAGTTTCATTAGAAAAACTTGATCATGCATTGTGAAATTGACAGGAAATAACATGCCTACCTGATGCATAACCAGCCTTTTGCCCTGTACCGAGCCTGAATTGCTAGTCTAGTCCTTGCAATTTATGATCGTATTTCGAAGAAAACAATGCAGTATTGCATCGCAATTGCATCGCATGCTTGTTGGACAACAATACTACCACAAATTTTATCTAATTTCTGAATTACCATCCGTGAAAGGTTCAATATAATGCTTGATGTCATCATGTTTATTGGCGGCAAAAAAATATTGACCGTCATCCCTCGAACCTTGTGTAAGAATATTTATATTTTTTGCTCAATCTAGCATTGCAGTATATTGAAATTGAAAACAAATTAATGATTTTTATGAATTTCATGCTTGGATTTGAGTTGGTAATAATATCCGATGCTTATACATGGAAGTACCGCGAGAGCTGTATTGTCGATACACATCTC